GCCTTTTAGCAACCAGCCTAGCCTTAAACCTCTGAATAGATCCATCATATTGATATTTAATGGTAAACACCCATTTACAACCCACTGGTTCCTTCCCTTCAGGCAAGTCAACAATATCCCAGGTATGGTTCTTATGCAAAGCATCCAGTTCAGCCATCATAGCATCCCTCCATTCAGGTTTAGATAAGGCTTCCGGTACGAACTTGGGTATCACTTGGGAAGAAACAAAAGCAAGAAAAGAGTAGTAGGAAGGAGATAGAAGGTTGTAAGATAGGTGTTTGGAGATACAATGGGTTGTATACTTCTGCTTGCCCTTGCGGAGAGCAATAGGAAGGTCAAGGTCTGGGAAAGATGTAGATGGGTCAGAGGAAGGCTGACCTGTTACCTCAGTAATGATGGGAGGAACAAGAGGCTCTTCGGTAGGAGTGGAAACAACTTGCCCATGTCTGAATCTGTGCCTTTGGTACCACCTTTGGAGAACAAGATGAGGAGGAATTACAGGAGAATGAGGTGGAGGAGGAGGAATAGGAATATTGGAGGTAGGTTCAGTGGGAGAAGTGGACACCTCATGAGAGGACTCAAGAGGAATGGGAAGAGGAATAGTTGGAGACGTAGCAAAGGGTTCTTCAGATTTCTCTCCCTCAGGAGAAATACTAAAGAAAGGAGTTAACTCAGCAAATGTGACATCCCAAGATACAAAGCAGGTGCCACTAACTGGATCAAAACAGCAATATCCCTTCTGTGTGGAGGCATATCCCAGAAAAACACATTTACGAGCCTTAGGTTCAAATTTGTGTCTTTGATGGCTGTGAACATGCACATAGCAAGTGCACCCAAAAACACGGAGAGGAAGAGAAAATAGATCCTCATCTGGAAAGAGAAAGCTAAAGGGGGTTTTGAAGTTAAGAACCCGGTAGGGCATATGGTTGATCAAAAAGGTAACAGTAAGAACAACATCTCCCCAAAATTTTATAGGAACATGGGATGCAAACAGGAGGGATCTGGCAACTTCAACCACATGTCGGTTCTTCCTTTCCGCCACTTTGTTTTGTTGTGGAGTGTAGGAACAAGAACTTTGATGAATAACCCCAAAAGTTTCAAGATAGGCGGAGAGGGTTTTCTCAAAATACTCCTTAGCATTATCATAATGGAATATTTTGATCCGAGTGTTAAATTGGGTGATGATGAGTTCATGAAAATTTTGCACAATAGMTGGTACTTCATCCCTGGATTTCATGAGATAAATCCAAGTGTAACGAGAGTAGTCATCAATAAAAAGGATAAAGTACCTGTAACCCCCCATAGTTGGCAAATGATATGACCCCCATACATCAGAGTGAACAATATGAAAAGGAGAAAGAGATCTTTTATTGCTTACTAAATAAGAATGTCTACAATGCTTTGCCAGTTCACACGACTCACAATGAAGACTCGATAAAGACACTCCTTTAAACATATCTAGAAACAAATGACTCAAAGCAGAAAAAGACAAATGACCAAACCGAAAGTGACATAACAAGACTTTGTCAATGGACTCTGACAAGACTGACTCTAAGGCAACTCCATGAGATGGTCCAAAAGCTCTATCTGGTATGTCTAGCAAGTATATTCCGTTCGCCTCATGGCTACTCCGAATCATCCTCTGAGATTGTAGGTCCTGAAAAACACAATGAGTGGGAAAAAAGGTTATGCTACAATTCATGGATTTAGTTAAGCTGCTAACAGATAAAAGGTTTGTATTAAGTTTAGGGACATGAAGGATAGAGGATAAATAAAGGGTGTCAGAGGTCTTTATATCCCCTTTAACAGAAATGGGAGCAAGAGACCCATCAACAAGGGATATTTTCTCTTTACTAGAGAGAAGGTGGTATGAGCAAAAGAGATTAGACAGGCTGGTCATATGGCCTGATGCACCGGAATCAATAATCCAAGGGATTTTGTGATTACCTGAAACTGAAGCATGATTTGCAGAAGCACGAATACCTAAGTGAGCAAATGTTGATAATGATGATGTGTTGCTGGTGCCCAACATCAATTTCTTGCCATAGGGATTTCAGTATAGAATAGTATGCCCTTAAGTGGGTGGCCAGCTAGGCAGTAACATAAAGAGATCAAACAAAAAGAAATAACAGGCCCATTAAGAGAGGCCTATTAGCTAACAGGAAAATAGAAAAAATATTACAAGAGAAGATACTAGGACCCATTCGGCTCAGTCTCTTTACAGCTTTGATGGAGAAGTTCCTTTCATCATTCATAATATCAGATTTGACAGGGATGGGTAGTGGATTTTTATGAGGTGCAAAATGGGGTAGTGTCTTGGTGCCCAACTTTCTGGAGAAATCTGAATTACAGGGAAATAGAGGAGCTAAGCTCCCTTCTCAGCATCCTTAACAGCAATTGCCCAAAATTAGACCAAGAAAGATAAAAGGTGTTGGAGATGGGAGAAGTCAGGAAGGTTTTCAATTAAATGTTTTTATAAACAGCTGATAAACTCTTAAAGAACAGATTTTCCCTATGAAGCAATCTGGGTACCACAAGTTCCATACAAGACACCTTTTTTGCTGTGGTATGCAGTATTGGACAGATGTCTTACCAGAGATAACCCGGTCAGAAGAAGGGATACACATCCAAGGCAATCACTGGTGCAAAATGTGAGCATGACAGGGAAACAGCAGATCACCTATTCTTGCATTGCAATCCGGCAAGAGAGATCTCGTTACACTTCTTCAATGCTCTAAACCTTAGTTCATGCCACCCAAGGAATTTAAAAGAATATTTGAAGGCATGGAAGATGCATTAGCTAAGTAGGAAGAGAAGGATGATTTGGAACATAATTCTGGTAGCAACAAGTTGGTGTATTTGGAAGGAAAGATACCAAAGGGTCTTTGAATCTAAAAGACATTCAGTGGATGAAGTGTTAAGTTGGGTGGTGGCAGCGGTATATTCTTAGTTAATTGCATAAGTTATTTTGTAATATGCCCCATCAGAGGTGTTTTTGATTGTTTGCTACTTAGTACAGGCTGAATCAGTTCAGCTCGCTTATACTTTTTGTATAATGACTCGCTGTACAAGATCTTAATAGTGATGCAAAAGTTTTTATAGTGAATGAATACAATCATATTTTATCTATATATTATACAATACATCAAACCTATGTAAATAACATAGGATTCTACTCTTTATTTATCAAAAACAAATATGAGAAACAAACATAAAGTTCCCTCTGCTCACAAAAAAATGACCCCATGATAACATGAATATGATGTCAAGAAATGGAGTAATTGGATCATTTGGTCCCTTTAGCAGATAGATCATGATTGGATCAATCAACTTCCTTTTTTCACCATCTACTATAATTTTTCTTTTTAAAATGTGAATCTGTGATATGGAGGATGGCTTCACCTGTTGGTTAGGGTCAATTTTTGGCATTGGAATTTTTCTAGGTTGAAAAAGTCTGCCTGTGTCCTTGTGTGCTTTAATGAGATTGGTGGGGCTCATGTAAGAGCTTACCAATTAGGGTATTCTAGATTCGTTTTAGACATATTGTGAGCTTTTTATTTGACTCTATTGCTAGATTTCTACTATGGAACTACTACTATTACTTTACAAGCCAAAACTTTGAGAAGTTCCAGTGTATTCACATGGGAGCTATCTTCTAATTGTTTGGCAATATTGCAGGAAAATTGTGCTATCAACAAATATTGCAGAGAGTAGTATCACAATAGATGATGTTGTGTATGTCATAGACTGTGGAAAAGCAAAAGAAACCAGTTATGATGCTCTAAATAAGCTGGCTTGTCTCTTGCCATCTTGGATATCAAAAGCTTCTGCACATCAGGTATGATGTAATTAATATGTATAATTAACAAGGGTGCAAGTCAGGTACCTTATTTGAAGAATTTACACTGCATCTGGCTGGGCTTTTGGATCATGTGCATTTAAATTTTAACAAAACCCCAACCCAAGCCCACCCAAGTTGTACCTATTATAATATAAGAAATTAAGAATAATTACTGACTCGACAGTATTCTCTAATGGGATTCTTAGTCTCACATCCAGTTTACCATCAGAATAAATAGATGGCAGCCTAGAAGTTGCTTATTGGAGGTTCCTCTTTATAATGGTTAAACATTTACAGAGACGAGGTCGTGCGGGTCGTGTGCAGCCTGGAGTTTGTTATAAGCTGTACCCTAAGATAATCCATGAAGCAATGCCCCAGTATCAATTGCCAGAGATTCTTCGAACACCTTTGCAAGAACTGTGCCTCCATATCAAAAGTTTGCAACTTGGAACTGTTAGTTCATTTTTGGCCAAGGCTCTTCAGCCACCAGATCCTCTTGCTGTTCAAAATGCAATTGATCTTCTCAAAACAATTGGAGCTCTAGATGATATGGAAGAGCTTTCTCCACTTGGTATGGAACTCTTGTAACTTATTGTGATTCCGCTTGGGCCATTAGATATAATTCTTTTAAAATCCAAAGTAATTTACCTGAACAGGTCGCCATCTTTGCACCCTACCTCTGGACCCAAATATTGGAAAGATGCTTCTCATGGGATCCATCTTTCAGTGCCTTGGCCCTGCATTAACAATAGCTTCTGCCCTTGCCTATCGTGATCCATTTGTTCTTCCAATAAATAGAAAGGAGGAAGCTGATGCTGCAAAAAGATCCTTTGCTGGTGATTCTTGTAGGTTAGGTCATTGAGTTATCATTCAAGTCAAAAAATTATTTTCCTTTCCCCTAGATTTGGCCTTACTGTGATTTCTGAAACAAGAACTTGCACTTTTTTTTTCATGCAGTGACCACATTGCACTTCTCAAAGCATTTGAAGCATGGAAGGATGCAAGAAATAAAGGAAGAGAAAGGGCATTCTGTTGGGACAATTTCTTATCACCTATGACCTTACAGATGATGGAGGATATGAGAAACCAATTCCTGGATCTATTATCAGATATTGGCTTTGTCAATAAATCCCTTGGATCCAAGGTAAGATAAACTTTCATGGTACCTCATTTGTGGGAATGTGCTCCAAAGTCCTTGATATCATACTGTAGATAGGAATTGCCAACCCAATAGCTTCAGATTGGGTTGGGACTAGGTTGGCCCGATATCTTCACTTTTCACTTCTCAAGGAACTTTTCTACCTAAAAGCTTAAGTTGTTGGGTGAGGTCCCTGAATAGGTTTTTATTCTCTAACATGCCCCTTCTTGTGAAAGCCCATCAGGCTTGAAGTGTGGAGAAGCACAAGCCCACCCATATCTTGTGCTGAAATTTAATTAATTATAATGGAGGTGATGAGGATCAAACGCTAGATCACTTTGTAAAACAAGCTCTGGTACCATCTCAAGGAACCGTTCAACCTAAATTCTTAAGCTTTTAGGTAAGGTCCCTGAGTAGGTTTTTTTTCCCTCAAACATCACTAAAATCTTTTTATTTCTTAGACTCGAAATTAGCAGATTAAGGTTAGTGCACTTTAGCATTGTTATATGTACAAGGACATAGTTATGTTTCTTTAGAAGTATTATACATTTATACTACAACATTTTTTCCTTTGAACGTAAAATTGTTTTACATGCATATAAATGCATACATTCATGGATGCATAGTTGCATATGTAGCATATATACATAAACATATACAAATACTTGTATGCATACATACATGATTCTATGATATTACTTACAAATCTGAAGACATGTCAGGTACGTTAGGTTGGATTGCCCAAACCTCAACGCTACCCTACCCAACCCAACCCAACTCTTTTGGCTTGGGTTTGGGCTAGCCAAGCCTAAGTTGCAACCCTAATTTTAGATGTAGTCCATCCAAATGCACAACTGTTTAGGTGATTGGCTACCTCCTATTGGTCATAGTTCCTAAAGCCTTGTGGCCTATTGGATGTAGGAGTTTGTAATCAATTATCTTTTCCAATTAGGAAAAAGCCTAAAATGAAACATTGTATTTGCTTCACAACTGTGCACATGAAAAGACTTCGGAATCAGGGCATTAGTAAATGAGCAAGCTAGCTCAGATGCTTTGTAACCTTGGCTTGAATAAGCTGACCCTGAGCCTGAATTTGGGCTTGTTTGACTAAATGAGCCTGAACCAAGCTTGGTTGGGCTTGGATCAGTTTAAGCTTGGCTCACTTAGACAGTATAACATACATGATATATAATTAATATATTGCATAAATGAAATATATATACTATAACTTTTTATGTTAATTTTCTTTTTCAATATAATAAAGACAGAGCAATAAGCCATTCAGTTCAGCTAGTTCAACCGTTATCAAATGGCCCCTTAGTTGGTAGCATGGAATTTGGGTCAATACTTTCTTATTATTTGCTGATAGACAAAAGAAATTAGCAGTACACCTAAAAGAATAGGCAAAAATGAAGAAGTCATACATATATTTATTTAAAATTAAAAGACAAAAGAAACAAATTGGTGGCTCTATTTTAGTCCCTACAATGGATATATACCACAAATTTGTACCTTTGCATAATCAAATGTAACATTTCAGGAAGAGAAATGTAAAGCTTTACATAACCAAATCCAAGATTCACTGCAATTAAGCTTGTTGCTATGCATTATCAATATTTTACTAAAAAACAGAAAAAACTCTAGTTCACTAACGTGTTTGAGATGTAGGTTGGTTCCAAATATTTAACAAATCACCAGCCAACTCTAAAAATTAGGATTAAGGATCAACCTAAGATTTAGGTCTCGCCAAAGTTCACTAACCCAACCTAAGATTTGAAGGGTTTTTAGAATGTCTTTTGCATATTTACCTTTTATTGGGCTTTACAACCCAATTTAGCAGTAGAATAGATAAGAAGTATGCACAAGTGCCATTAATAAATGTATACATATTTTCTACATATATACATGCGCGCACGCGCTCACACACACACACACACACACACACACACACACACACATATATATATATATATGTTAGAAAAGAATATTTTTATATGAATAATATGCTCATGCATAACATGCATATTTGTTCATCTTTATGCATGGATGTAAGCTTAAGTTGATCATATGCATAGTTGAGGCATGATGCTAAACCAGAGTGCTAGAGGCATAAGCCTCTCAAGCATGTGTTTTTTAAATAAATAAATAAATAATTAAAAATAATAGAAAATGAATGGTAAAATAGTAACTTTTTCAAAAACAAAGGGAAAGAATAGGAAAAAACTAATAAAACATTATAGTTGGAATCTCTAATAATAAAATCATCATATTCAAACAAAAACAAATATTTTAAACATGATAACATACATGAAACTTTCAATTGCCAAATTGTTAATAGGATCAATGCTTGAGTTCTCTATCCCAAGTTCCCAACTCAGAATTCATTCCCAAGTCACAACTCACATGAGTGATTAAACAAAAATATAGCACCATTCAACTATGGACTACAAAAAACTTCAAGGGCTGAGATTTGATCAAAAGACTAAATCATCATCGTCCACAAGAGTAAAGGCATCATCTTTAACTTTGATATTTGCATCTACATCATATTGGAGCATTTCTTCCTATTTCATCTTCTTCTTCATCAATCAGATTTAATTCCATATTCATGTCTTTCCTTATAGACCCTACAAACAAAGTACAATTGCAACAGAACAATATGTCACCCATAACATTTGAATGGCTCAACTATATAGGTAATTAGATTAGACCACTAGAAATAAGCATATTCACTTACTTTGAGATTGAGTGGCTTGGATCTTATGATTTCTAGAATCAAGTGTCTTATTATTACCACCATAACCATGATCCCTCTTTCTATTATTTGAACCTTCTTTGTTAGTAGGGGCTGTTAGCTCTATTGGATCTACATACTCAGCTACCTCCATTGCAACAATTTAAAAACCCATGGAATTGTTATCCCACCATTAATGATTAGTTGGAAGAAAGGGGTCCTTTATTTCAATGGTTCATTCATCATCTTCTTCCACATATTGTGTTAATATATGATCAATACTTGTACTAGCTTTTCTCGCATTTCTTTCCCTTGACTTCTTGTTGCACATGATAAAAACTAAAGCATTTAACTTTGCTGTTGTAGTTTGCTTTTTTTTTTTTTGCATCTAGAAGACACAAAAAAAAAACTTCTATAAAAACCTAAAAAGTAAACCAACAAATAGATAAGGACTTGCTTAAAAGTGCTCCAATTTCTTTCACAACCAAAAGCACTATTTGTAAGAATCAAAACTCAAATATAAAACTTTGTCAACTTTGGGATTTGGGTTCCAAAACGTTCCCACCAATCAACTAGGATATCATATGACATTATTACTAGTGAAGCTTTAAAAGATATAGAAAAATAACTGTGCACACTGGTTTTCGAAATTTGATAATCTGACACCAGTTGACCACTTACCAGGAGTTCGCTTCTTCCTAGTATCAATTGCCATGTCAATTGGCAATCTGCTAGGGCAATTCATGTCTGTTTAGGGTCATCCTCTTGGACCTCTTCATGCACTCAAATAATCCATTTCTCACTTAGCGTTCATTTGAAAAGTTTGACTTACAATATAGCTATGGGTTTGAATATTAGTCTGTTACATAACTCATAACGGAATGAACTGCAGCACCCATTCAAGTTGATAAGAAAAACAACCAAGATATGAGTTCATCATCAATCCATCACTTTCTGAGTCTACWTTTTATCAGTAATTCACATTTCACAACTCACCAACTCAATTTTACTTATAAATTTGTATAACATAAAGTGAGTACAAGATCAAAATTTCCAACTAAAAATTCAGCAAGCACAATATTTTTTGAAGATAAATAGAAAATTTTATTAAAAGAATGCTGGCCTACTACTGGGAAGAACATGCATGGATTCTATGCATTATAATTTTGTTGATTGTATGCAGGCTTACAATCAATACAGCGATGATCTGGAGATGGTATGTGCAATCTTGTGTGCTGGCCTCTATCCAAATGTGGTGCAGTGCAAAAGAAGAGGAAAACGGACAGCATTCTACACCAAAGAGGTTGGTAAAGTTGGCATCCATCCAGCATCTGTCAATGCAGGGGTTTACCTATTCCCACTGCCTTACATGGTATACAGCGAGAAAGTAAAAACCACCAGCATTTACATCCGAGATTCGACAAACATATCAGATTATGCATTACTTCTCTTTGGAGGCAATCTCAATCTTAGTAAAACTGGGGAGGGTATTGAGATGCTTGGTGGGTACCTCCATTTTTCAGCATCAAAGAGTGTGCTAGAGTTGATAAAGGTAATTTACTTTTATCTCTTGCTTAAATTTACTCTTTTGTACTCTGATAGGGATGAAACAAGAGATGGATGTGAAAGTCTTATATTATATACTTCTGTAATGTGATTTTTCAGAAGCTGAAAGGTGAACTCAACAAACTTCTACAGAGAAAGATCGAGGAACCTGGGCTTAACATCCATGCAGAGAGTAAGGGGGTGGTTTCTGCTGCTGTTGAGTTGTTGCATAGTCGAATTGTTCGATACTGATTTTCTGTTCTACGATCATAAGCACACTAAGAAGAAAGAGTGCTATCATTTTTTTACCAAAAATTAACTACCTAGCTTTGTATCATTAGTATTTATTTCAAGTAGCACTTTTAGTTCGTTTGAGCGGTTACAATTTTTATAGAGCTTAGGGGAGATATCTAGTGCTCACGGTCATAGGTTCATCTATATTGCAAAAGATGACTAGGACAACAATGAATATGTCAATTTTTTTTGTTTCTGTTATCGAATGCTTAAGTTCAGACACATAGATTATGAATAAAATGATCCAATATTTTGGCATTATTGTGTTTCCATCTTCCTGCTCAGTATTGTAGGTGTAGACATCATCGAACATCCCTTTTTTTTACAAAGGGAATTAAAATATTAGATGAAACTATGATAACTATTTAGTTTTGGGACATTTCATTCTTTGGTTTTTCCCTAATCACATCTGCCACTTCTACTGCAACCTAGTTATCATTCCACAAGTGAATTTGCCGTAACCCGTTCTCTAGTGGAGGTATCACATCAAGGTTTTTTATGTTTTTAAAATGGCCCTCAACCATGAGATGTTAGGAATTGACTTCGCTTAAGAGAAATTCCCTAGGCTGCGTTTGGTTGCAATGCAATTTTAATTATGGCAGTGCAAATGGTTTGATCCAAATTCTAATTTATTTTTGTTTCAGGTTCGACTATGATATTGGAAAGATATGATATCCAAAAAATTTCCAATTAATCAAGTGGGATCGTAAATGTGGTAGCCAATCAGGTGTTATTAATCAAAATTCAAGCACGGGTTTTGATTGGTCAAAATTCTTCCAATAGCATATCCAAGATTTGAAATTTTGATACGTATCAGCCAATACGTTTTGTATTAGTGACTTCCCAATACACCCCCAGAGGGGGAATTTTGGGGTTTAATCTGGTTCAGAGGGTAGACAGGTCTTAAATCAATCCCTCTGAACCAGCTTTAAAAGAAAAACTAAAAAAATAGGAGAAATCAACTTTGATACAGGCCGATACACCCCTGCATATCTTTTCCACATCATAGATTTTCCCTTTTGTTTCATTTATTTTGTTTGATTTCAGAACACAAATGAAGTAAAATGATGAAGCTGAATAAAGTAAAACCCAAAACAAAATTAAACCAAAATTTCATTCTTTTCATTTGTATTCCCATACGTTTGTGTGCAAAAAAAATTGCACTGCAACGGTGCAACCAAACACAGCCTTGGGTAGATAAGATGCTTTAATCCCATGATCAGTACCCTAAGTTCAATAATATGGGCTTAGACTTTTTCTTTTTGGCCTTTTGTCTCCTTTGCCTTTTCAAACGAATTGTCTTTTAAACTTGTATATATACTCCAAAGTCTTTTTTAAGTAAATATACATGTTCATTGCACGTGATAATTTCAGATAACAATAATAATTTCAATATCCTTATTAGAACCCATTAATCAAAGCATGGTGTACTGATGGATTTAAATTTTGTATTTTATTTTATTATTAATAAAAGTACTTAAGTATCATATTTATTTTATTTAATATGATAAATATACTATATTAGAGATATTCACAAAATTTCATATCTTCTATAATGGTGTATTTCTATATATTTTTTGAGTTTTTATTATATAATTATGACATCATGTGTTGATCTATTTGACTTGAAAGGAAAAGTGATCTCATTTTTGGATAATTTTAAATTTTTAATATCATTTTCATTTCATAATTAAAAAAAAAATCTTGTTTCACTCTCATTCACACTCATCTTTATTTAATATGATAAGTTTATAATATCTTAGATATGTCAATCTTTCATATAAATTTTATGTATTTTGTAACTTTTACTTTTTCTATCTATTTTTTGTTAATTTTTATAGTTATTTATAACATCATTGATTAGCTCATATCAAAATTATACCATCATGGTGCAAGTCAAATAGGTTGGGCCAAATGTAAGCTCAACCAAGCCCAACCGTATGCATTGGGCCCAAGGCTCAAGACCAAAGTCAAGCTTGACCTGTCCAACCTGGCCCCAAATTGCACTTGAAATTTGATGCACTTGGTAGTGGCTTGAATTTGTGTTTGTCAATCAGTCGCACAACAAAAATTTGACATAAATAATAGTATATGCTTGTATATATGAAAATATGCGTCTATATATGTATTTATGTATGTAAATAGGTATGCCTAACTTGGGCTATATAAGGGATAGGATTGTGCCCAATTCAAAAAATAGAAAAATCTTTACATTTGAGTTTAGGCTTAGACCTAACTCAAGGATTATACAAACAAGCATGTCTAAAATTATGACCTGGGTTAGTCAAGGCTTCCCCTAAGTCTACCTAACTTGCATTCTTACGGACCATTGACCACTGATTATATGCAAAACCGATTTTCATTTCAAGTTAACTTACTTTTTTATTATATTTCTATTATTAATAAAAATAATTATTATTTATTACATTTATTTTTCTTTAATATAATGGATAGAAAATATTAGAAATGCACTAAAATGTTTTTTTTACAAAAATTATATATTTTTAATAATTTTTTGTTTATATATTTTTTTCTATTATTATAACATTGTGGATTGACTCACTTGACCTAAAAGTTTGAACCATTGATGCACCACTTGAATAGGAAAATAGTTTCTTGTTATCAGTCAATTTTAAATCTTGTATTTTATGTCAACCATTAATAGAAATACTTCTTATTTACCATACTTATCATTCTTTAATATGATAAATATATAATATTAGAGATGTGTGTAAAATTTTTGTAGGTTTATATTTTTATTTATTTTTAAATGTTTATTATTAACTATCATGAGACCATTGGTTGACCAATTTTGACGTGGATGGTTAAACTACTTACCCACCACCCTTTTAATTAAAAGGGAGATCTTACATTCATTTATGTTTTGTATTTATTTTTCTTTTAAAATTTTCATTATCTAACTATGACATCATGGATTGGCCCCACTTGATCTGGATGGTTGAATTGCTTACCAGCTACCAAAATGGAAGAATGGTTTTATTTTTTAGTCAATTTAGAAATAAACATGGGTTCAAGATATATATGTTCATTGTATGATCTAAACCGTAAAACTGAACCAAATCAAATTGAATTTATGGCTTGGTTTGATCGATATTTAAAAATGACTTGAATCGGTTTGACATTTTTCTGAAATTGTGACTTACGATTATGGTTTGGTTTTATTGAATTTTATAAACTATAAATCACAAATGGCAATTATATATATATATATATATATAAACTGAATGTATGCAATTATAAATATATAATAAACTCTTTAATTTCATAATGAAATAATAAAATAAAATTTTAATTTTTTACTTGTAGGGGTGTTATTTGGGCTTTCTAATTGGGTTAAGCACAATAAAATTATAGAACGACTCAAAGTCCCCTAAAAACCACACCAAACCATAATAAAATAGATTGGTCTAGTTCGATTCGAACGGTTTAAGATTTTAGTTGGGTCCAAGACCTCCAAACTGCACCAAGCCTGACTGTAAACACCCCTACTCTCCATTAGTCCATTTCTTTGTGAGAAGAATTTAAGATTTTAGCACAGACATTGACTCCTCTATACTCTAGTCCTTCCCATCTACAAGTCAAACTTGGCTCTTATTTGGTTTGATTTGGATCGAAAGCACTTACGTCGGGCTTGGACCTAGGCTTTTTGTTCAGGCCCAAGTCAATCATGGACCCACAAATTTCAATACTAGACTTGAGCCTAATACTTCAAACCTAACTTGGGCCCAACCCACCCTATATATTCATCTATATCTATAATATAAAGAGGAACAAGAGAACGCAAAAGGGCTCTCACGAGGTTGCTCACCTGAGTACCTCTGCTCTCTCCCTTCTCACATGTGTATTTTGTTTAAATTACAAAAGTAATCCTTAATGTTGATATTGCCACGTATAGAGCTATTAAATTCTTTTTCATTATTCCCTATTTATAAAGAAAATTATAACTGACAAATGGAGACAATAATAATCATTTASCATGTTATTAATGTGTTGCCTAGAGAGATTTTATTCCCCTAACTTGAACTATTTTCTTCTATCCAATTTTCCCTTCCAGCTAAGTTTGGAAGGAGTGCAAATACAAATATGTACAGTACAAATGCATACAAAATAATACAAAAGATAAGGTTTTTCACTCTACATATTTGTATTTGTACTCCTTCCAAACTGAGCCTCTATTTTTTTTTCTCCTGCCCTCATATAGGGGTGTCAATGGACCGGTTTTGGGTTGGACTCTGTTCAAATCAAAATCTATTTGGACGGATTGGATGGACCAATAAGACATATCGAATTTGGACAGACTGGATGGACCAATATGACATATTCGATTGGACCTGGTCCGTCTATAATGAATTTATATTAAATTGAGCCAATATCTGGTCCATTGATAAAAGATAAGAACATAGGTGTCAATGGGCCAGGTTTGAGTTGATACCGATCTAAATTAACAGGAATTTGAACAGATTGAACGGTCTTTGGACTAGTCCAAATTGGTCCAAAATATTCATTAGACTGATTTGGACCAGGTCCATTTGTAATGGACTCACAGTGGATTGGACCAAATCCAGTCCAATTGACACCCCTACCCTCATCCGTTTCTCTAAACCCAATTTGGTAAGCCCCTATATTTCACTTTGTAAATAAACCTTCCTTAATGGCTACCTGCACACCCCTTTGTAAATGAACTGTTACAAGTTGATATGTTTAGCTCTCTTAAATGTGTAAACTCTTTCAAATGAATACGTTTTAGGGCTTTTTCCAAAGCCGAGCTAATTTTTATGAGCATTTAATTTGTTTTATTTGTAAATTATTGGTTAACCTCACAAACACTTCTCTCCAATTTCTCAATTATGTGCTCTATATAACTTTTCATGGTAGAATATTCTTAGATCTTTCCTAACCTAATTTTTGTACATCTCACATATTCTCGACTTGTTCTCAACAGTGTTTAAATCTCAATAATCCTCTTCCAGCTTGGAATGGTTGGTAGAAGTATATTAAAGTCTAAACACTTTTTAAATCTAGGTAATGGCTGCCTAGATCCTCTAAGGCCGATTTAACGACCTCCTCACCCTCCAGTGCCAATTTTACTAACAAAGAAGCCTAGCCTGTCACTTTGTTATGATTGATATTCATAATATTTTTCTTACTTTTAAAATTTATCCCACATCCTCAAACCCTCCTACTCTATTGAGCTGAATAGTCTTATTCTTAATACTTTAACTTATATCTCGTGTGTATTTTGATTTCACCCGATTCAACTATCATCAATTCTATATGCTCCGGTGCATTGTACGGGTTTTTCGCTAGTATATATGTGTTTCGTATATAAGGTATACATATACATATGTTATTTCATGTAAATATTATAATCTTATATAAATTATATAATGCATAAAATAAATTTATATAAATACTATATGCCATTTAATATAAAATGTTATGTATGTATATTATACATATAAAAAACAAAGGGGTGGAATAAGACCTTTGTTCACCCAGGGCCGTATATGCAGGTTTATGTTTCAGATCCGAACCCGGACAGGGCTGGGCCCAAGCCTAGGTGCCCAATTTATGATGACATATGTATATGTCATCATATTTGCATACAAAATGCAAATATGTATAGTATAAATACATACAAAATAATACAATATATAAGGTTTTGCATTTTACATATTTGCATTTATATTCCTTCCAGAATGAACCTTAGGCTGTATTTGAATGTGGTGTAAATCAAGAACCGATGTAAAATTTACATCGGTTCGTTTTTATAAACGTAAAACTACACTCTGATTTAATTTTGCATGCGTTTGCCACGTGATAGATTTAAAGATTATTCATCAGTCTACCAAATAATGTTGAAAATTTCTGGGCAACTCGGGAGGGATGAACCGATGCTGGAATAGGAGGCTATTTCTGGCCAACCAGATGTGCCACATAATGTTGAAAATTTTAGTACAAATTGGGATCGAATTCATTACCAAACCTGAGTCATATGAAATGCATTCCTATACCCAATCTGCAATACTTCTTTCTGGGTGGGATGATGATGGCTTGAAACATAAGTTCGAACCAAACCATACCTTGCATGCATAATGACATTGTAAGAATAAATGTCAAGAGTTACCAACTGAGGGCTAGTTTGTTGGTGTGTTAGCTGGTTTATTCCAGTATTGACGTGGAACCGAATCCCGCAACCAGCACACTTTGGGTAAAAAGGGGGTCAAGGGGAAGTTATAATACCAAAAAAAAAGGTCAAGACTCAAGAGTTTTCTCACAATTTTCACACAGAGGACAAATAGAGTTCATGTCTTTGACAAACTTCTGCAAATTAAACGACATCTAGTATGAAGAACATTGTTGAGAATACACCATATGAAGATCATCAACTTATGGCTGGTATTTTTTATGCTCCAGAATTTGCACCATGTTAATGAAGTTGTAATCAACTGTGAGTTAGATGTAGCTGGCTGTGTGGAAAGAAGTAATTTGTAGCTGGCTGGTATTTAGAGATGTTTACCTGTTGACCAGACCAGCCACAGAATTTGGATAATTAGAATGATGAGAATAGTGATCACCTCTCTATCACTACAGCGACCAGAGAATAAGAGTCTGTTTGGTTTGCAGTCAGAATTGGAATTGGAATGGCCTATTCGCATAGTCTGTTTGATTCAGACAGGAATGAGAATGAGAATTGGAATAAACAGGAATGAGATTTCATTCCTAAGGGAGGGGCAGAGAATGATTATTCCCTCAAATGGGATAATACCATTTCAACAAAAATGGTAATGGGATTCCAATTCTACTCAACCAAACATTTGGAATCGAAATAACCCATTCCAATTCCAATTCCAGACCCTTATTCCTGCAAACCAAACGGGGCCTAAGATCATTTGCAAAGAGAAGATGGGACAAATGAACACCCAAATTTGTATCCCTGCAGAGCATCAAGCCATACATAATATAAAAAGATAAGGTGAAAGACAACCTTATGTTGGAACTCAGTTGTAGGCTGTCCCTTGACAAGAATTGACATTTTGCAAGTGGACAGACACACGACAACAAATCAATTCTTAGAATTCCAAAGAAAAGCCCAATTGATATAGAATAACAACCAAAAAATTCCATTAAACTCGACCATAAGCTTTGAATAAATCTAACTTCAATAAGAACAGTTTTCATTCTTCTTGTGATAATCTTAGCTACCAGTTTGTAGAGAATATTATACAAACAACAAACTGATTGTGATTGGACGAATATCTATTGCTGTTTCTACATTTTTTCACTTCAGGCATGAGGCAAATGTTTGTGTAATTAACTTGACTGATGTCTTGAGGACAGTGGAATATGTGCTGAACTACCCACCCAGTATGGAGGCCATCATGCTGCTTTCCATGGTTTCATTGAGAATAAAGCTGCTTGAACCGGGTCCGGATGTAGTAGGCACGTTAGGAAAGCATATTAAGTAAGCACCTAATAGATGTGTGACACCTGTTTTACCTATTAAGTGCCTTACATCCAAACGTTTTTGTTCTGTTAGGTGTTTATCTATTATTTTATTATTTGTGTAAAAAAATAAAAAAGGAAAACCTATCCTAGTTAATGCGCCTTTCTCTCCATCTCCAACCTTCTGCCGTTTAGGGTTTTCCCACCTCGGGACCTTCAGCCGTTGCAACTAGTTGGTTGGGGCAGCTGTTCTTGAAGCCCTCACTTGCGATTTCATCTCAAGAAACCCATTCATCCAATCTCTAGTCATCGTATTCCTCATTCGCGGGTTTTGAACTTCTGCTATGAGTGTTGCTTTTTAGGGTGCAAAAGGGCAAGAAAACTACATGATTATCATAAAATTTGTAAGTAGAAATAGAGGTGTAAAGTGGGGCCCACGCAAAGTGCGGGCCATCATGGGTCGTGCCGCCCTCCCTAGTGAAAATTTTGGGGGTTGGCCCCGTCCCGTGTCGTGCCGCACTGCAGGCCGGGCTGGCCCATGGGCCGAGCCTTGGGCCAGGTTGGGTCGTGCATTGGGACAAAGCTATTTATTTAAAAAAAAATGACAAAAAACAAAATTTTAATTTTATATGAATTTTGTGTATAAAATTGCTTATATATGCAATAAGCCAATAATTAAATAAATTAGTATAAATAAATTAAAGAAAAATATTTATTTTATTAATATATTATATACTATATATTATTATATAATTATAACTTATATAATATTATATAACTATATATATAATATAAATATATATGGACCAAGCTGGGTCGGGCTAAGGGTTGGGCCGTGCTAGCCCACGGGCCACAGGCGGCAACCTGCTCGGTCATGCCGTGTTGTGCTGGGCCTGGCACGGCCCACAGACCGTCGTGGCGGGCAGCACAACCTGATTTACACCTCTAAGTAGAAACACCTGTATTAATTCTATTAGTTCATCACAATAGTTTATGCATATTCCTAGAAAATTGATTCATGTCTTTTTGTTAGAATTAATTATTTCTTTTTTGGTCAGAACCATAATAGTTTATGTCTTTCTCAATAAACAAAAACAAGACAAGACAAATACAATAAACATTAAAATTCATCTATGCTAGTATCATGAAATAAACAATTTTTGCAAAAACTAGTAATTTACTTAAAAGTTTTTTATTTTTGGTGAATGCTCTAAAATAAACAAACTACTGCCCCAACCAACCAGTTGCAACGGCTGAAGGTCCAAAGATGGGAAAAGTTTAGAACCCACAAATGAGGAATACAATGGTTAGAGGTTGGATGAATAGGCTTCTTGAGATGAAATTGCATGTGAGAGCTTCAAGAACCGTTCTCCCAACCAACCAGTTGCAACGATTGAAGGTCTAGAGGTGGGAGAATCCTAAACAACAAAAGGTTGGAGATGGAGAAAAAGGCGCATTAACTGTAACAGGTTTTCTTTTTTATTTTTATTTTATTTTTACATAAATAATAAAATAATAGATAAACACCTAACAAGAACAAAAACGTTTGAATGTAAAACACCTAATAGCTGAGACAAGTGTCACACAGCTATTGGATGCTTAATGTAGTTTCCTAACGTGCCTACAACATCCGGATCCGCTTGAACCTCCGCAAGGTCAAAAGGATGCATTAACACCAATTTGATATCATGAGAAACTACGAAGAGGAAGGAAAATTAAAATCAGAGAACTTGGATTCAAGGAAAATAAATTTACATTGTCCACAATGATAATAACATTTCACACACACACACCCTGTGGTCTTATAAATAATATAATACTGGGCCAAACAATTTATCGCTTGGATTAGAATCTACCAATCTTCAAATCAAACAATTAAAATTAGGGCTGTTCACAAAACTCTGGAAACCGATAAAAAATCCGACTCGATCCGGGTTAGTCGATTTCGATTTAGAAAAGTATCGAATCCAATTAATTGGTTTCGGTTCTCAATCTACCAATCTTCAAATCAAACAATTAAAATTAGGGCTATTCACAAAACTCTGGAAACCGATAAAAAATCCGACTCGATCCGGATTAGTCGATTTTGATTTAGAAAAGTATCGAATCCAATTAATTGGTTTCGGTTATCGGGTTATGATTTTATAATCCGAACCGCAATCAACATGAATACAAAAGAACCGACCCATGTACAACCCTAGATTTGTAGTTGAACCTTGAACGGTTGACCCTCTCATCCCTTCTAATCTCCAAAGCTTTCTTTCAGTTGAGAACTGCAGATCGAAACAAACGTCTATAAACAATACAAATAAAAACACCGTCTCTGTCGACTGTCGATCCATCTTTGTATGGGCGCCTAGGCGGGCTAAAAAAAAAACACGAACCCGGCGAGTCATACAAGGTTGCAGAAAGCCGGAAACCCTGAAATCACGAAACTCCACTCTCAGTTCGCCATAGTCATGGAAGATTAGCGAGCTCACAGAAATACCGCATCTCGACGGTCTCTTCTCCACTTCTCTCACCTCTCTCTCTTTAAGTGCGCGAGAATGCCCTTTTAGGAGACTCGGAGGAACTGAAAGAGATGGGTCGTCCCGAGCCTGGTATCTTGTTCGCTCAGACATTCGTTCATCCCCAACTCGATGAATACGTCGACGAGGTAACCTTACCCTTGTTGATTCCTTTTCTATATTTTTTTACTCTTTTTAGTATGCTTCTAGCACTGCCTTTTGTTCATGGATTTTGTATATTTTCTCAAATTTTATACCATCTTCCACTGTCATAAATTTAGGAGAATCTCTTATGTGGGGTTATAGATTTTGGCTGCTTTTATTACTCTTTTCAGTTGTACTCTTTTTCCTGTTTCTGATGCAAGTGCTCAGTGCTAGGCATTGTTTTGTATTATATGATGGGGTTACCTCTACTTACCATATTAAGCAAATAAATTGTTTCCAGTTTGTTGCTGATAAAGAGGTCATCTGCCACTCATATCCTTTCAAATCCTAGAGAACATATCAACCTTAATCCTGTGTGTGTAAAACTAAGTACTCCCTAATTCTCTAGTTCTATATACAATTCAGCATGCATATTAATTAGAAAATAGCATTTTTCTTTATTAGTAACACTAAATTTGCTCTGTAAACATGGAAAATCAATAATATTTTAATTATATTAATTTTGATACTTTCAAAAATGATATATAATCATATCAATTTAGCAACTAAAGAAGGTTAGAGAGGGAGAACAAATTGTAGACCAACTCTTTGTTGCAAATCAGAGTTATCAAGACTTGAGAAGGATTGGTCTTTCTTGGCTTTTGTAAAGGACAAATGTTGGTTTTGGACATAGTGGAGGAAATGGATAATGGGATGCTTGGTAAATGATGTCACTAAAAACCTCTTTCCTACCAAGATTTGACTAAAACAAGGGGATCCTTTGCCTCATTTTCTTGTCCACAGCTATCACTGATGTTTCTAGCAGGTTGTTTTCAAGAGTGGATATATGTGAAATCGTGAATTAGTTAGAGGTTGGAGAGTAGGTAGGGATAGGATAATGGTTAAGCATATGCAATTTGCGGAAGATATTATAATCTTTTGTGAGGATAGGGGGAAGGTGGTCGTTATCTTCAACTTTTGATCAAATGCTTTGAGAGTCTTCTTAACTTAAAAATGGACTTTGGGGCTGTCCATGGGCAGTTTTTCAGTTCAAGGGGTCTGAACTATGGGCACCCTTTGTCCCCATATCTGTTCATATATGTTACAGGGGAACTGAAATGATTGATTTCTAGGGCAGGAGATGGGAGCTTTGTGGAAGGATTTAGAGCGAGCGGAACAGCTGAGAGAATTTTTCTTTTACGTTACAGATGATATGCTATTCTTCTGTGGAGCTTCACACATCTAAAATGTATTTTGACCTGGTTTGAAGTGGTTTAGGCCTTTGTCTTAATATGCACAAGAGTGAGTTGGTACAAGGTACTAAGTTCCTTGCAGAAATTTTGGGCTGTAAAGTGGGTAAGTTGCCTAAGAGATACTTGGGGTTGCCATTAAATCAAAGGTGTATCTCCAAAGCTGTGTGGGATCCTATATTGGAAAGGTTTGATAAGAGTTGACATAATGGAAATTGAAATGCTTATCTAAAGGAGGGGGAACACATTGTTGAACAGCATGCTTTCTGGCCTTTCCACTTTTTATCCCTCTTCCCACTTCCAACTTGAGTGTCAGCACAACAGAAAGAAAGATGAGAAATTTTCTATGGAAAGGCTGGAGTGTGAATTAGAGCAAGCTGTGCTCACCTAAGAGTTGGGGTGGGTTGGGTATGAGAAAATTGAGATTGGTAAATGTAACCCTACTAGGGTTTGGTGATTCAATGAGCAAGCTGACAAATTATGGAGATAGACCATAGTAGCCAAATATGGGTCAAGAAATCTAAATTGGGACCCGAGGCTGGAGTCATATGGCTGTGCCTGAAAGGGGTGGAGAGAAGCTATAAGCCAATAACCATTTCTCAAAAGGAATAAGGTATACGGTGGATAATGGTCAATGAGTCATTTATTTATTCTATATGAAGTGGTTGGCTTCATTTGGAAGTTGTTATCAGCTTTATTTGGGTGAGATATCTTTAGCCTGCTTCTCCTTCACAAATTTTCTCCTTGTGGACAAAGACTAGAGGTAGTAAGAAGGCTAGAGTGCTTTGGAGCTGCATCACATTTGCTATTTGCTGGTGCATTTGAAAAGAAAGAAATAAAAGATTCTTCGAATACAAGTGCTGGAGTCTGACAAGATTAGTGGCGGTATTGGCAAAGCTTCTTCCGAATGGGTGTTGGTTCATCCAGAATTTGCTCAAAATAAAAAGGAAGACTTGGGGGAAAGACTATGGGAGGTGTTAGAGTTACAAAGTTGTGATGCGACATTGATAATTTCTTTTACTGATGTTGTGTATGCCAATAGTTCTGAGTTGTGTTTTGTAAGTGTGTGTTGTCTCAACACTCTATCTGGATTTTATCTTTCTTTTGGTTTGGCTAATGACAGTTTTCTTTTTACTTATCCAAAAAAATGGTCAACGAGTCAGATTCTCTCTGGTGTGCTAACAGACTGTGGAGTTGTTTCTAGCCTTTTTTTTGGCTGTTAAGAACATAAACTCTTCTGTGGTAGATTGTTTTCATGTGTCAAATGATCATTTGGTATGGAATTCTTTATTAGTCCAATAAAAAAAATGTTCTTAGAAGAATATAAATGACTGGGAGGTGGAAGAAATGGTGGAGCTTTTACTCTGTGATTCAAAAGGTAAAACCTGATGTGAGTCAGGAGGACAAGAGGATCTGGATGTTTGAATCCTCTGGTGCCTTCTCAATCAAATCCTTTACAAGTCTCTACAAGGCCAACCAATCTATCTTTTCTCATGTTCAAAGGTGTGGCTTCCTCAAATTCCCACAAAGGTTGTCTATATGGTATGGTTGACTGCCTTAGGTAAGTGTGTGGCAATGGACAGTCTGAGTAGGAGAGGGATTATTTTGGATTTAGTGGAATGTTTGTTATATCAGCAAGAGGTGGAAACTGCTGATCACTTATTTCTGCACTATAAATTCTTGTGTGCTCTCTATGAACCAGATTATGAGATGCTTTGCCCTTTTGGTATCAAGGAGTGTCTACTAGCAATTTTGTTAGGTTTGTTTTGGGGGTTGACATCCGACTGGTCTAAATAGGAAGGGGAGATCCATTTAGGAGACCATATCTGCTGTAATCATTTGAAATGTTTGGAAGGAGTGAAATGATCGGATTTTTGATCAGGTGTTGGCTTCAGAGGAATCTGTGGTACAATTTACCCTTGGCTGTCAATTCTGAAAGTCTTCAAAGGAGTCTATTACAACAGTTTTCTTTTCTTTATTTTTTTTTCAATCATAGGCCAAGTTTGGGAGTGCTTAAAAATAAGCGCTTATTTTTTAAGCCCAAATTTCTAGCTTTTTTTTTTAAGTGCTTAAACAATAAGCACTTATTTGATTTTATTTTCTACCAAAAAAGTCCATTTATTTTTGAAATTTCTAATTATGCCCTTCAAAAGTAAAAGCTTAAGGTTTGACACATCAAGGCTTTCTCTCCTTTGCCTTTTGCAACCAGCGGCAGAACTGAGGTAGAGGAGAGAAGTCGTCGGAGCTCTTCTTCGACCTGATATGGCGTATTTCTTCTTTACTAGAGATATACTCAAGGTGGGCATCAAGTATAGTGAGTCGTGGTTCTGCTTGATGTATAAAGGGGTTCCGCTCAGGGTGGCAACGATGCCATGGTTTTATCAACCAACACACAGTGTGAGGCGGGTGGATACCACCGTGGGTTTCAATAAAGTCAACTTGTTTTCGGCGAATGCCACTGATTTGGTCAGAGATGCCTCTCTTAATGACTGGGTTGAGCTCAGGATTACTTGTGATGTTGGGGAAAAGATCTAGATTTTGGATATCACTTTGCCCAGAGTTCAGGTTGTAGTGGATTGTGCAATAGTGATTAGTCCAAGGAAGCAGTCACTGACATACAAGCAATGTGGAGTGGATGGCTTGAGCGTCTGAGATGAGGAAGCTCCCATTCTCCTTGTATCTCTCTGTACCCATCTATGCTTTTCTAGGACATCCAAATTTTTACGGCTTCAGCTCCACTCTCCAAGCAAGGAATTTGGTTTGCTTTTGAGAGGGAAGAAAATGGGAGCAAAAGAAATGGGGTTACCCTTCTCCCACTGTACGAAAGAAACTTTGGGGATTTTGGGTCTTGTTTACTTTACATTGAAATATGAATTGTTATTTAGATTGAAAATGGAAGGAAACTCAGAGTTAGCATTCAACAAAGAATGCAAATTCAGATGAGGAGCTCAGAGAGCTTCAGGGTATTTTGAAAATTTGAAAGAAATTGAAGGACAAAAGAGTCAGAAGTGCTTATTGTAGAAAAAGAGCACCAAATGCCCAATATGAAAAAGTTGGGTGCCAAATGCAAATAAGTGCTTATTCAAATAAGCATTTGTTTTAAGCACTTATTCAATAAGCACTCCCAAACATGGCCATAGTATCCTAGTGGTGATCATATATTAATTTACAATCTTGTGGGTGCAGAATCTTTTGTACAGGGGGCTATGTCTTGTAATACTTTTGTTTCGTTTCCAGTATTGAAATATATTCCTCACCATTTTCGGAAAAAAATCTTATGGATTTTATCCAATGAACTGCATTGACCAAATGTTTTTTTTTTTTTTGATAAGTAACAAGTAACTGATTTCATTAATATAAACAGAATATATGTACACATTAGGATCCCAAAGAGAGGTACCTCGTAAACCATTTGATTTGTTTACCTACCTCTCCACAATATAACAATTTTGTAYAGAGCCCAATACAACTGTCCTCTATTGACCCCTTTTTAGCTCTTGGAACCCTAAGTATTGTTATTATCATGTTCTTGTTAACCATTTGACCCCATATCAATTGGGATAAGGCTTGGATGATCATGATGTTCCTGTACCCCATAGTTGTCAATGCAAAACCTAAGTTGGTGCACAAGTGATGCCTAGGTGACAAGGTGTTTTCTGGGTGATGTTTTCTTATAATTCTCTTTTTGCATACATGTTTGGCACCTTCTTGATCAAGGAAAAGGGCAAGGCAAGCACCTTTTAATATCTTATGTACTGTGTTGTACTTTATTTATACTCTATGATACATATACTCATTTAGGGGGTGTTCGCCATTTAATATCTTATGTACTCTGCTTTGGTTCACTCACTTCGCTTGCTCACCGAAGCTCTGAGAACCCCCNATATACTCATTTAGGGGGTGTTCGCCATTTAATATCTTATGTACTCTGCTTTGGTTCACTCACTTCGCTTGCTCACCGAAGCTCTGAGAACCCCCATATTGTTGTTCATTCATTCATTGCAATAAAATATCTTCTTAAAAGGCAATGAAAGTTATAAAGTCATTATTTTTTATGTGAGAAATAAGAATTTCAGACCCTAACATCAACTTGTTCAGGCTTGCCTTGAGGGGCGTGGTACAAAAGCAACTCATAGAATCAAGAATGCAATATGTTTTACATCAAATTACCTATCCATGGGAGGTAGAATAACCCTGGTTAAGTCCACATTGACAAATCTGCCTGTATACTTTTTTTYGGTGTTTAAAATGCCCAAAGGAATATGTGGAATTTTGGAAAAGTTGATGAGAGACTTCTTATGGGAACCAGGAGAGGAGAAAAAGGATCATAGGGTCAGGTGGGATATAGTTACCAAAACCAAAAGTGATGGTGGGCTTGCTTTAGGCAATTTGCAAAAAAAGAATGAAGCTCTGCTGGGGAAATGGCTTTGGAGATTGTCTTTGGAAAGGGATAAATTATGGGCTCAAGTTGTCTTAAGTATTCATGGGCAAGCGGTGGATGGCTGGGACTCTGGAGTTTCAACTAGGGCTGCGAGAGCTTCTCCTTGGAAATCAATTCATGCCATACTTCCTTCTTTTCTTCCTTTAATCAGGTATGATATGTGCTCCGGTAACTGAGTGAGATTTTGGGATCATGTTTGGGTGGGAAGCACTCCGTTGAAAGAACTTTTCCCTTCCTTGTATTCTTTATCTCGATTTACGGTCTCCACTGTTTTGACCACCTCTAATTCAACCATTGATTGGAATTTGGGTTTTAGAAGGGCCCTTAGAGAAC